CTGCATTGTAATGGTGGGGTGGGTTGTTTTTTTTTACCAGATTGTAAATCATGTACATTAAATAACATTTGTTTATAGTAAGTGTCTTTGTGTACATGTATTCCTACTTTGTTATAAGGCTGAAAATTTATTTTCACAGGTTGCCTTGATTTAAAAATTTAAAATATACTATCTCAGAAAAGTATATTTTCCCATTGATATTATTTACAGTCATGACTCCCTTTAATATTAATAGAAATTGGAGAAATTATTCATGCACTGAGTGAATAGATTGCTTTGATATGAAATCTCAATGCAGCAGGCCGGGTAGTTTTATACTTGTGAAGGATACACTAGAAATTGAATTAAAAGCTACAGTGCAATGATCTGATGATACAGATATGCAGTTTAATAAGGTGTTAATGAGGAAGCAAGTGAATATAAAAAACTAGCACAAAGGGCTTATGTCAGAGGGGTTGAAGGAGTGGTCCAAAGGTTCCATAATATAATCTGAAATAAAGACATACAGATCTTTATTTTAGTGTGCTGCAGGGCCTCCTACAAACATGATCTGTCTTGGAGTGAAGGAGAATTTGGCACAACTATGGATCTTCCAGTGACTGTCAGTGGCTGCGCTTGCTGAAGATTATAGTCTTTCCTGTAAAATAGCTCACTATAGCCCTTAGCCCACACAACCCACTAACTTCAGTGGGCGGCTTTCCATTTATTTCAATGGACTTTGGATCAAAAAATTGAGAGCTTCAGATAGGACAGGAGTACAGAAAAAGGGGCCTAGAATTAATTAATTAATTGGGCTTCTATGAATCCTACTGTCTCTGCTAACTTACTTAACATGGTTTTCTTATATACCGAAAACACTTTGAACCGCAAGATATTGGACTCTGACAGCAGATTCCAGTTCCCTATTTAGTCAGATTGAAATTACAGAGATGAGTACAGAACCTGAACTCTTGTATTTAACAGGCAAGTTAGCTATGAAAACTTCTGCTATCTTGGAAAGAATATTTTGAATATTTTCTGGAGGAAAAAAGTCACCCTTTTCACACAAAACTCTAAAGAGCTCATGAAGGAAAGCAATAGGTCTCCCAGATTTGTACGTCTATTACCTAGCTTTTCACATGTGCCACTTGTAAAATGATCTGCTTCACAGAGGTGATACATACAACCATAGCTCAACATAGAAAGTGATTTAACAGCTCCATTTGGCACATTAAAGGATTCTTTTTTTCTCAAGGGTCTGCAATCATTACAACCAGGAGTATATCAAGACAACTTAAGATACTCACCAGCTTGGCTTTTTCAAGTTCATTATTCAGCCCCGTTTGAGAAAATCCAAAGCTATTAATGTGGGTGGACACAATATCAAATTTATTGGACAGAAGATTTTATTTCTGGCCAATTAGATTCTTTCTATTTCTTACGTAATTAGTATCATCTGGCACATTCTTTCAGTTACTGCAATCAAATACATACCAGTAGTTAGGCAGTACATGGAAAAAATATTCTATTAAGAAGTTTCATGTTAAAGGAAACTTTACAGGTAATACAAAACAAGTGGCTTAATTCTTTGTTGTACCCACTGACACTGGAGGGGGAAAATAAGTAGGAAGTGAAGTATCTAATTGGCAGAAAAAATAGCAAAAAGTATGGCAGAAAATCAAAAATACAGCCAGCTCAATATCTCTACAATTTTTCCAGAACAAGCTCAAACAACAAATTGTACTGGACATGGAGCATCTATATAAAACAGGTGTAGCAGACCATAATATATGTAGGCGATGCTGCCAACCTGTCCCACAGAATTTTTGTTGCCGAAAATGATAAAAGTGTTGGAGCCATGTACATAAGTGTCTTTCCACAGTTGGGAACATGAAGATAGATCCATTTCCAGAAATCTATACACTGGAAATGGTAGATGTATTAAATCTTCCAATGAACAACAAAAATTGGGCACTGTCGTCTCCAAGTAGCATAGTGTAATAATCAGAAACATTTTGGGGATCAGCCTATCTTTTACTATAAGTTTGGCTGGACCCTGGTTGTTACTCTTATATAACTATTAAATAATAATTCATTTAATTCAAAATCCCAGAAAGAGTAGAAGTCACTTTAGCCAGTAGATGGTGCTACATCCCAGCTATATTTTAAAAAATAATCACTTATGTTTTAGCAAAAAACTTTGCTGTCAAGCTAAAAATAAACCCATCACACATCATTTGCTAAAATGTTCCATGATGTTAAAGGGCGTAAGTCATAGTTCTTTTAGACGTGGCCCTGAAACAGCTGAAGGATATTCTAATTATGTTTCGTATTCAGTATTGTAGGTCTGGAAGGCTTCCATCAGTTTGAACGACAACTCCAAAAATATTCTAATGTTTTATTGTAGTTCAGCATATTTTATTTTTTACTTTAAATAAAGCTTATTCCAGTGGCAAATACTTAAAAATAAAATTCCTTCCATCTACATAAATATAAATATAGATAAATTCCTTAGATTTCTTTCTTGAAAACTTAGTAGTCACAGCTGTGTCTTGTCCATTGATTGCTTGCTGCTTTTCTAAGTTCTTTGTGGATTTGGTTATGTGAATTTTCTCTGCCTGTATACTTTTGGGGTCTGACAATATTAGAAGTGAAGTCCTTTTGCATCTGCATTACTGTTTGCCTAACTTTTAATCATTTCAAACTAGTGAGTCACATATGTGGCTGTCTACTCACTGCCATAGACGCCGACTCTGTGGGTGATCCGGGGCTGGAGCACCCACAGGGAAAAATTGGTGGGGCCTCAGCACCCACCGGCAGCTCCCTGTCCTCCCGCCCAGCTCACCTCCGGCTCCGCTCCGCCTCCACCTCCTCCCCTGAGTGCACTCCGTGCCTGCTTTTCCCCCCTAGCTCCCAGGACTTGCGCCGCAAAACAGCTGTTTCGCATGGCTGGGAGGGAGGGGGAGGAGTGGGAATGTGGCGCGCTTGGGGAAGAGGCGGGGCCGGGGCAGGGATTTGGGGAAGGGGTCCAATAGGGGCAGGGAGGGGGCGGAGTTGGGGCGGGGACTTTGGAGAAGGGGTTGGAATGGGGGCAGGGCAGGGGCAGGGGAAAGGGTGGAGTCGGGGCGAGGCTGGGGGTGGGGGAACACGAGCACCCACCCCGCGCCGGGGAAAGTTGGCACCTATGTTCACTGCTAGGAGTGTCTCCTCCTGGTTGTTCAGGGGATTAGCTCTGCAAGTCCAACACCCCTTTTTGCAGGCACGCTCTGTCCCTTTCTCTCTCTCTTCCTCCCTGCAGCCCAAGAAACACCATGAGTAAAGTCCCCAAGAGACAGCACATGATGTGCATCTCTCAGTAGAAGGCTGCTGCATTTGACCACAAGAGAGAGGCCCTGGTGGCAGAGATGGGGAGCTCTTGCCACTCCAAGGTACAGTCTACAGAAGACAAATTGTAACAGACACACTAAATGTCCCACATATATTATATCAACGTCCTTCATTTGCCCCTTTTCTCAGAATGTGAGAGCTCTGAAAGTGTGCTCAGCCCAACCCCTGGGGGCAGACAGCAAATGAGAGAGCTCCCCTGCTTTTTGTCTGCTTCTGGATAAAGCTTGGTGGCAACTGAAAGCATGAGAAATGCTTCCTCCACTCCAGCTACCCTGTATCTGTTAAAGTCGAAGCACTCGCTAGGTGGCTCAGGATTACATATAGGCACTTCCATAGGTTGATAGGAGCAAACCCGAAGTCTCATTTGAATTCATCCTATATAGAGCCAATGTCTCTCGTTGGACACCTCTTCCCTACTCATGCTCTCTGGAAGAGCTGCTTGGAAAATGGTGAAAATAGTTCTTTAAAAAATGTGAAACATTTTGGCCAAAATTTTGACTAGTGTTGACTTGTTTTAATGGAATGCTGCTGCTGCTCCCTGTCCTCGTGCTGTAGCCTCAGTAGCTTCTCTCTTCAATGGCTACGCTGACACCTCCACCCATACTGCTATCACAGGGGAGTATTCTTAAGAGAGGAAGGATTGTCCAGTGGATAGGGTGCTAGACTGGGACTTGGGAGACTTGGATTCAGTTTCCTATTCTGTCACTGACTTCCTGTGTGCCAAAATGGGGATAACAGCACTTCCCTACCTCACAGGGGTGTTGTGAGAATAAATATACTAAGGACTGTGAAGAGTTCAGGTGTTATGGTAATGGAGGCTATGTAAGCTCCTAAGATGGCTAGACTGAGGCTTCGCATATTATCAAAACTAAACTCTAGGATGGTGATTGCGGATCCCGACCCTATAAAAATAGACATTAAACTATGACTGATCATGATCCTAATTATTTTATTTTTATTGCTAATCACACAAAGCAATGCTCAGTGATTGAGCAACACATCAACAACATGCTTTACAGCTTGCTGCTGTTCCTAAAGAAGTGCAACCTCCTTCCACTATTTCCTACTGTGATATCCATTCTGTTGACAGGAGACCACTGCTATAGCGGAGCACTCCATCTTCTATAAATTATTCCTACCATAGAAAAGAGTGCCCCCTTGTGGCAGGATGATCTCATTAAAGGTAAGCATCATTCCAGCTACAATGTACTTTTGAACATAAAGATGAACAAAAGGTTTTAAAAACACAAATGTTTATCATTATCAGCTATTAATGTAGGAAGCTTATTCATGAGCGACAATACTTCTATTTATGGTAATCAAAGAGAAATAAATAAGAAAAAAAGGCAAGTAAATGCTTTATTCAAAAGGAAATATTTACTTCAACATCAATTGTACCCACTGACAAAATTATTCTACTTATAAAGCACACAAAAGTACTTGGATACATATTCATTTGCTTTGTCTGGAGTATTTTAAAAATACTTTCCCTTTCATACAGAAGAGCTTTTCTTTAAAATACTGGGAACAAAATGCTATTTAAGACCAATTAGGGTTTGTTTGTTTTTTAAAAATCTCCTCCCTCTCATCTATACTCATTAAAGCAACACTGCTCATCTCCAGAGGAAGACGGCTCATTTGTTTCTTGTCTTTGTACATTGTAGACCAGAGTATAGCAAACGACATCTGCACATATTTGGCACTACACATTTCCCTCCATGTTGACAAGGCAGTTTACAAACAGCTGAAATGATACACCAGATATATGGTACATCTACCATACAACACAGTTTAATTTTTCTTGCACGGCTCATTGTAGTAGCAGAATTGTTCCCTAGTGACAATACTGGGACAATATCAATAAAAGCATAATGGAAGTACTGTAAGCAATGACTGTCTTTGAATTCTAGGCTCATGCTCCTCACTGGGATCCAGTCATGTTGTGTCTAATTTCACTCACACTCCATTCCCCTTTTCTGTCCTCTCCATCTTATGAGGCGAGAAAATATAAAACTTAACTCCAGTTCTCCCTGTATGGCTGGATTGTGACTTGAGCTGTATGCCTGCATGGGGATATAAGGAGAACAAGAATTCCTGTTATAGCTCTAAGGGCTACCTGGACTTTGGCTCTGGGCATACTGGAGTAAGCAGGAGCTATTTCCTGCACGCCTCCAAGAGCAAGTGGGCAGGGAGCGGCAGTGAACAGACAGGGCCCTGGCCCCACCCCCCCGCAATGTGCCAGCTAAATCAGCCCAGTTGGGGGTGTTGTAATTTGCTGTTGGCACAAGCCCCAAAAGTGAAGTTCAAAGTGACAGTGGTTTGGTGGCTGCTGTGCCTGAAATGATCACTAGCCCCACAACTGATGCAGTCTCAAAAAAATCAACAGAATGTGAAGCGTTTGATCCTTTCTATCACTATCTATTCCACAAGACTGTAACTAACTGAAATCTTTGGCACCAGGCATTTTGTAATATCTCCACAAAATGCCCCTCATCTGCCCTTGAACCTCAGGGCAACCTCTGTACCTCTGCCTGCATTAGATAGAACAAGGGATAAGCTGTTTCATCAGGGATCTGATTGGTGGTGTCCCTCTTAGAAATGAGTAGATTACAGCATTTATTTGTAAGGTCTCCTAGACAATATCAGCTGCATTAGTGTTTCTGCAGTGCTTGGAATCCAGGGCCCATATGACTCTGGGATTTCATAAACAGTTCTTTTCACTGGGTCATTCATTTCAAAAGGATTAACCCAGAGGATTAATCCAGAGACTCAAAGGGTAGCATTGAGTGCTACCACACAGGAGACTGAGTTCAAGGACAATCTCTAAAGAGCAATTCTCTCGGTCTCTGAGCCAGCAGGAAGGAAGTCTGCACCATTTATTCTCCAAAGATAGTACCTCCTGGTGACTGCCTCTCGGAGCAATGTTGTTACAGAGCATATGGGGCAGCTCTGAGTTGATTAAAATCTGATGAACCTTCCCTCCTTATATGAATCACTGTTTGGAAAGGTGAATGGCTCTTACTGTGGATCAACAGGGGGTATGGCCCAGATCCTCAAAGGTCTAGGTGCCTTTGGGAGCTAGATGTTTAAATACCTTTGAGGATCTGGGCATAAGTGCTTGGGAATGGCATTGGACTAACAGCCCTACTTACTGCAGTCCTTTATTTACCCTTGGATCAAGAGGAACACAGGATGCCCCCCAACAATAACCTGTCAAACTGTAGGAGCAAACACCTCTAGTGTAAAGGGATGTGTCATTTCCCATGTCCATTAAGTCCTTGGCCTCTCTAATGACACTGGCAACGAGCACCCGTGGTGGGTTTCTTTGTGATGTGGAAACTTGTTGACTAGGAACTGATCTGAGACCACAAAATACATTTCAAGTAGGCCCACAAAAGGTATTAGATAATAATTTTTGGTGACTACCAACCAAAACTTGGATTTGAACCAGTGACTTAGAGGTGAAAGGCTCTATAGCCCTTTACCAAATACACAAGCCATGTATTTTCCACCTTGCTTAGATATCTGGGGGCACCACTACACAAAGGTAGCCCTGACAGACTAGGATGGGGTCATTAATTTGGCTTTGTCAGGCATCGATGCTCTGAATACTAAAACAAATACATAAAATACTGAAAAAAGAAATATCAGAGTATTTTACTTAAATGCCATGCTCCACCAACCCATCCAGCTGGACAGCTGCAGATTCCAGGAGACACATAAGCTCCATCATTCCAACACCCCTGAGGAAACTTTCTGGAAAGGAAGAATGGATTAAAAAAAGAAGACGTTTCTTGCTACACTTTAAATATGTTGGATTAATTAAGAGCATAAGAAAAACAAAGAAGAAAAGAAGGGCTTTCCTCCCTCAGACATCATAAATGGTGGCATCAATAGAACTAAGATACTAGTAACCTGATATGGGATATAAAATATTGAGGATTGAGGGTCAGATCTTCCAGTGGTATAAATCAGTGTAGGTCCACAACAGAGCTATGGCAGTTTTCCCTCAGTTGAGGTTTTGGCCTATATATTTAAAGCTTTAAAAGAGAATAATCTAAATGCATTCCTGTAGCTACCGTTCACTTAAAAGTTCTATGAGCAACCCATCCTGTGTTCAGTCACACAATCCTTAATGGACCTCTGACACTGTAGCTCAAATTAATCTGATGGCACTTCGCTTTGAATTAATGTCACCAGCTATAGAGCAGCTCCTCCACTTTTACTGTAGCACTGTCATTTGCATAATTATTAGCCCGTTACTCCTTTTAAAATGTTTTTATTGGCTTTGCAGTCATACCTCAAGCTCATTCAGAACATTTCCATTATTCTTGCAGTCACTGTATAATCCAATTCCATTTTATCATCCTAATAGAAAAGTAATGGTGCCATTTTAACCAGGAGAAAGTCTGTTTCTTTAAATTAAATGGCTTTTACAGCATACGAGGCTGTTCCCAACTACTTCTTACACATTCAGCCAATCATAATCAGTCTGATCAGACTGCAGTCACATGTCTGGCAAAATATTTCATTCCCACAGATCTCTAATTAGGCTGCCATCTGGGCACGTTTACAGTCCTCAGGCACAGTTAGCACTTGAGTTACCTCAGGTGCAAATGAAACATAAATCTGGGCACTTACCCTCCTGGCACAAAGACACTACACTGCCCCATTGGCAGAGATGCATTCCCCACCAGTCTGACACCCTCCTTTACAACTTACTGCAAAAGACCACCACAGGCACTGAACAAATCCAGCAGATAATTAGCGTTAAATAGCCCACTTTCTCATTGTAGCACAAATCTGAGGAAGCTGACAGACTGAATATTTAGTCTCATCAGTAATTAATGATTAGCATTTATTTCTGTTTGATTTTCTTAAGCTTTACAATGGGCTCTTTAGCTACAAGATATTATTATTCAAATTGAGATTAAATATATTGCTTAAATATTAACGGAATTTCTACCAATTGTCTTAAATGTTCATATGTGTATTAGCATAGTGTCTGATTCTGCTGCCCTTACATTTAGCAGAGTAGAGTAAGGAACTACTTAGTGCGAGAAAAGATGACGGGATACAGTAGAGATGGGTCAAATTTTTTTTGATCTAAAGGTTTTTTCACTGAAAAAAAATGCAGATTTGAGTCGACCAAAACATTTTGCAAATGGATATGGAATTTGCCAAATTGTTTCAGTCTACAACAACAACAACAACAAAAATTGAAAAAAAAACCAACCATTTTGACAGTCAAAAATTAAATTTTTGATTTTTTATTCAAAATTTACTTCAATTGTAAGTTTAAATAAAACCCCTCAAAACTGAAATCTTTTGTTTGATCCCAAACAATTTTTCCCCTGATTTTTTTAGATCAGCCAGCAAAGTGAAAAATCGATTATTTGCAGAACTCTAGAATTGAGTCCTTAGGCCCCAATTCAGAAAAGCACTTAAGTACAATTAATAATTAATTAATTAATTTTAAGCATGAGCTCAAATCGTACTGAATTCAATGGGAGAATCAGGCTTTATTCATTTGGGGGAGGGTATTCTATTTTGGGCAACCTATAACTAGCCATAATACACCTTGGGTCAGAGCCTCCCCTCCTCCCACCCCGGACTATGCCAGGTTCTTCTTTTGAGTTGTTCTTTGTACTAGAGCACAAGGAGCTTGTAGCAAACACTTACAGTATATATATTAACATAGCAGCAACCAGAGTCTGATGCTGGCTGGAGCAAGGGCAGGAAGAGGTGGGGGGAGGGGGCGGAATGGGGAGGGGTGGGGGTGCGAAGAGGCAGGGCGGGAGTGGGGGCTTGGGGGAAGAGATGGAGTGGGGGGCGTGGCCTGGGGCAGAGCGGGAGTCTGTTGACCTGAATGTATGGGCTAGTTTATTACAGCTCGCCAATGATCTGACCAAAAGATATTTAGGTTCTTGTCCCAATTCAGGCTACAGGGTTAGAGAACACAGAGAGTTCAACGTTGTGAGAGGACCCTCGGGTTGTGTGGCAAGGACACTTATACTGAGGACAATACCAAATTATTAAGAGCTTTATTAAAATGAATGAAAAAATAATAAACACTATAAAACACAGACTCACAAAGAAATAATACAATTCTATGACCCCTGGTGGTAAGATCTCTATGCTAAAAAAACTACTTGAACTAGCATACTCACACCCTTCCCTGAAGAGCTGGTAGTGGGAGACAGAGGACCAGCTTCGTCTCTGGCATGCCTGATGAATTCGATGGTCCAGGCTTTCCAAATTTGGTAGGGATTAGGGTTGAGTGTTGAGTAGCTAAGCTGTATTGCAAAGCTGAGCTGATAGCTTGATAGAAGATAAGAAAAGGCAACCCTCCTGCATGGTTGTTTACCCTCTTATAGGGTTCTGGCACTGCCTTAATCAAGGCCCAACCTATCATGCCCAAATCTTATTTCCTCATCTAGATAAATCTTCGGGTACACTTACTCTATAGGTTAACATATTATGACATATATTCATACGTATTAATATTGATTATCTCATGCCCAAAACCATTACCCTTGGCCTAACTTATGACTTCCACGTTCTGCGATGTACCCTGCAGTTAGCAGTCTTTTCCAGACCTATGGTAAACATATTCAGCAGTTCGGTTCCCCCATTCAGTTCCCCAATGTCAAGAGGGGTAACCGATAGGCCATTTAGCTATACCAAAGGTTATAAACACTCATACTGATCTGCTCTAGCTAATCATACAAGATACAGGTCTGTAGGTTCCTTGCATTATAGCCAACTATTATGAATAACTATTATGAATAACATATAATGGGATTCGGCATAAACAAAACCCAAGAAAATAATGTAATCACTCAAACCAATTAAGAAAACGCATTATGCAATATAGCAGGGATTGGCAACCTTTGGCACATGGCCCGTCAGGGAAATCCGCTATCGGGCCGGGCCGGTTTGTTTACCTGCAGCATCCTACTGGCTGCGGTTCGCCGTTCCAGACCAATGGGGGCTGCGGGAAGCGGCGGCCAGCACATCCCTCAGCCCACACCACTTCCCGCAGCCTCCATTGGCCTGAAACGGTGAACCGCAGCCAGTGGGTGGTGCGATTGGCCGAACCTATGGACACTGCAGGTAAACAAACCATCCCAGCCCACCAGCAGATTTCCCTGATGGGCCGCGTACCAAAGGTTGCCGATCCCTGCAATATAGCAAGCTAGCAAACTGACTTTATGGGCTACAAGTCGAGCATCCCCCGGGAACTGGGGAAGTCGGCGCTTCTGGGTACTACTGTCTGTCTGCTGATTGGTTGTTTGCAGCAGCCTTTCCACCTATCCCCTTTCCTGCACATACTTAAGTACTTTGCTGAACAGGAATAGATGGATTTAAAGGGTATTTTCAAAGATTAAAAATGTTAGAAATATTCCTGACTGGGATTACTTGAGCATAATGCAGGTGAGGAGATCAAAGTTGCAAAGTAAAATTCAATTTATCCCATATTCCCTCAATTTATGCCATGCTTGCAGAAATAATGGTATTTACTCTGATATCATGAGCTATCTGATTTAAAAGAGTGGCCCATGCTATTAAAATAATAATAATTACTAAATTATCAGTTATGGAGACTCCTAACTCCCATCAATTTTCAATGGGGTTATGTAACTGCCATTTGTACCCTTTGAAAATCTTCCCCCCACCACCACTCCCGCATGCACAAAAAACCACACCTAAATTACACTATTTAACTTGGCATGTAAAATTTCTAGGTCATTGCTCAAAGGTTTCTGAGTGTAGCAGTTTATAGTCAGTATTTGTTAAAAGCAACTCCAATGTATGCCAACACGGATTATGTGAATTTATTTCTTGTTCTGTATGAAGGGATAATGGTATCTATACAGTATTTGGTTCAGTCCTCAATCCATTTTGTTTTAAACAAGATTTCATTTTTATCTTTGAAATAGGATGTTGAAGGCTCAATGATATGTATTTTAGGGATTGTCTACACTGCACTACTGTGTAAACTACGGAGGTGTGAATTGCATATTGCACCAAAGAGTTGCACTCTAATGGTCCCATGTGGACTCTGCTGGCACAAACCAAAAGGTACCTAGTTCATGTTAACGTAGTCTGATTTGAAAGAGGATTATGTTAACATGACTTAGGTGTCTTTTAGCTCACACCAGCAGTGTCCATATGGGACAGTTGTAGCGCAACTTGGTGCGCTGTGCAATTCACACATCTGTAGTCCACATTACAGTGCAGTGTGGACATAGCATTAATAGTGCCTAGAGTGTCAATCAGAATCTAAGGACTGGCATAATGTATGATTAGTCACATGTATAGCACACTAGTGAGGATTTGTTAAAGGTACTCTGCTGTGCTGATCCACAGAGGATATGAAATATTACAGCCTCTGCTACAAGGGCTTGGCTTTTCAGCTCAAGTTGCAGTAGCTCGTGCCTTTAACACTGGAGGTCCCCAGTTCAGTGCCTAATGTTTTGGCTTAAAAGGGCAGTGGTCACATAAGCATTATTGTGGAATAACTTTACAGCAGCTGAGTTCGAAATAGTTGCTGAAGTAAACTTGTGCATTCCAAGAAGAGACTAATATAGGGCTTCACCTTGTGAGGTGCCTACAGAATCAAGCCCCCTGGGTTGTGCACACTTCATCTATCTGATAACGTGGAACCAAACTGCTTAGGATTCTCAAGGGAATTCATGAATGCTTTGTCTGATAAGATTATCCATGCAAAAAGAGTTCTGGATAAATGAAACCCTTCGTCTCATGCTCCATCAAGGAGACTCATTGAGATTAGTTAATTTTCTTCTCTCCCACACAAGGACATACAAAGGAAAGGTAACTTTTGTCTCCTTAGCCTTTTTACCTGATCCATCATGGTCTTGGACTAGTGAACAAAGTGATTCTTTAGTGACTTCCATAGCATTTCCTGGTTGGGGATGTGGGGAGGTTGAAATTGTACGCTACAGTGCAACAGTGAAAGGAGGTGAAGTAAATATCAAGATACTTGTTACTATAATAAAAAAATGTTACATTTGCTATGGCTGTAACTAGATGTTTCTCCAAACTATAGGTTGACTTTAGTATTATACCCATTTAGCTTCCAGGCAGAATAGAAAGTACATTAGTTAACATGTATCTGCTACAGTAAATTGATAGGATAGACAAGTGGTATCTGTTTCTACTGTCATATTATTTGAATCCCTCAAAACCGGGGTAATTAAAGGAGGAGGTTTTGGGGAAGTCTTGCTGGGTTAACCATACAGTGAGCTCAGTTCTCCATTATGGGATAGGTTACACCAAAGATGAATTTTGCTTACTTCATCTTGTGAGCATGGCTCTGAGAAAGGTACCAACCCAGTGTAACCACAGTGGCATTTGAGATTCAGGAGGTATAGTTAATGAGGATAGTCATTTTAGAGTGATACTTTTTAGTTTAAAAAATCACATTTTTAAAACGAATTATTTTATCTGTCTTAGCTTTTTAACTTTATAGTGATTCATATGGTACAGAGTGTGCTGCTGTGTCTGGGGCCAGTCCTGGGTGGTGTCAAGTCATGTTAGAGAGGTAGTCCCTTCATTCAGATGCATTGGTATTAAAAAAATGCTTAAGGATACCTTAGGTTTGCCACTTATTAACGTTGGCCTTTAACACAAGCTTCACAGTCTAGTCAGATAAATGTTACTGTATTCTGCAATTAAGTTGCAGACAGATGTCTTCCAGCTGTTTGGAAAGATTGTATCGCTTACTAAAAAATGATGATCACAAATATTTTGGGAAGGAAGAGAATGACAGAAGCAAGAGTTGCCGGCATGCTTTGAAGTGAAAAGCCAAGGATCTTCCATGAAGACCATACAGAATGTTCTAAAGTCTTTCCCCTTGCTTCTTTCTCTTTGTTCTGTAATTCCTGTGTTATCAAGGTTCCATAAGGCCGCCCCCTTTTCTTTCAAATCCTCAAGACTCTCTTCTGATTTGAGGCATATAGGAAATTGGCAAAGTGGTGATAACTAGCTGTGGCAGTCGAGGATAACTGACACTATTTATTTATTGAAAAACAAAGTCTTTTAAATATTTAGGATCCGACTCTTAAATTATGCACACAGCCAACCTTTGGGACCTCAGTACTGTTCCCTCATTTTCCTTCCCCTTCCACCCCGCTGTCTCCTGTTGTTTGCTACACTCACTTGTTGCATCTTGTGTCAGATTAAACTGTAAGGTCTTCAGGGTAAAGATTCTCTTTTACTAGATGTGTGTATAGTGTCTAGCACAACGCACTCCTGTTTGGGCACCACTGCAATAGAAATAATATTTTTCCTGCATAAGCAGAGAAGGTGTAAGACCATGTGAAATTATGCTAATATAACTTTTTTTTAAATTGGGCACTTACATTTTTAAAAGTAATCTGATTCTGAAAGGCGCTCCCAGTGAATGGGAGGGACTGGTCAAATACTGCAAAACAGTGTTTGCATAGTTGAATTGCTATGAATGGCTCCTTGGTCCAATCATGTTCATGTCCTTTATTTGCTAAATATTAATATTCATATGAATGAGGTTTTGTTCACATTACTATTTAGGGAATGCTGTTTTTCATTTCAATACCTGTATTCACATGCAATGAAGTGTATTTGGATGCAAACAAAAGGATTTGCTATTCACTATTTGTTATTCGCTGTTCAGCATTTGCTGTGTTATTTTTCCAACTTAAACTTTTCAGTCATCCAATCAAAGAAGAGAGACAACAGCATGTGATTTAGGCAATCAGTCACAACGATCAGTAATGGATAGCCAAGCACCAAAATGAACAATAGCAAAAACTCCATTATCTGAAATTTGTTTGTGAATAACAAATTTGTTCACCAAAATCCGTATGGAGTCATGAATGATTTTAGAGTAGAGAGAAGGACTAAATGTATCAGAGAATTTATTTGCAAAGAATAATCAGACTGCTATAGTCCAAACCATACAAGATGGGGCTTCTGATTTGTGGCTTATGCTGCACATCCTTTAGCTGTCAGCAACAAAAGAGGCTGCAGAACGCATGAAGAATATAGATACTCTCTCCTCAACAGCTGCGTCAGATTTTCATCGTAAACCATATTTATCTCAGATGAAGTCTCAGGAAACACTTTGCATTGTAGTAAGGCCGTCTGAGAAGAAAATTGAGGCAGGGGTAGGGATTAGGAGGGAAGTGCTCATTTACCTTTGGACAGAGCCTCTGAAAGGGATGCCTAGCGAAGATGAGAAAATAGTGCAATTCAGTGACGGGAGAGGGGATGCAGGGATCCATCTGTATTTAAAAAGCTGACTGCGATATTAAATAAATCATAAGACCCAGAAGGGACCTGTGAAGCCATCACATGCTTTATTTCTATTTTCCTGGTTTCTTTCTCCCTATATCTTGACCTAAACTGTCAAAAAAGCTTCTGTTGGAATTCTAGTAATTGCTGTTTCCTGTTTCTGTGGCTTTTTCATGTCTATTTTGTATGTGGCTCCAAATTCTCCTTTGTCTGGACTCTATGTATTAAGTCTGAAAGTGTAAAAGGTTGAAATCAGCTTACTCTGAAGAACTGACCTGTCCTTATTATTTACCACTTTACCAACTTGTGTGTCATCTGCAAACTTTACCAACAAAGATTTTATTTTTCTTCCAGATCATTGATCACACTGACTGTTTTATATTGGACAAGATGCTTATTTTCTCCTGGCCTTCATCAGTTAAGTGGTTATAATAATAGTTGTATGTGTGTGTTCTGAGATTTAATGAACGTTTGGAAAGTGTTTGGAGAAAGTCAGAACAGATTGCTAAACAGCTTCCTTGGCAATATGAAATGAGATTCCGTGTTGTTTGAATGAGACTAATATACTTAGCATGGGTAAAGAATGGGTAGAAAGAGGCGTTACAGTGAAAGCTCTCCGGCAGAAGGCTCCCATGTTGCGGACCATGGCAGTTTTTCAGGGCTAGAGACCTTGTGTGAATAAACCAGCAGTGATAACAATGCTGCTTGAACAGCATTCTGCTTGTTTCAGAGATGCACAGGATAAATTATTCCCAGTATTACATTCTGTGCAACCATTAAAATTAATGGGGCTGAACAAAGTATACACCAGGATAGAATTTGGCCCATAATATGTAGATGCCTCTGAATTTGGCCCATAACATTTAGAAAGCCTTTCACCCTCTATCCCCTTGCAAGGAAGATATCCCATATAGAAATCATTCAGGTTTGTAATGAGGATTTCAATGTTACAGTATCTTCACCAACAGGTAAGAAACAAATATGTTGGATTTGTGGGGTTTAAATATAAAGCCAACCATAAGAAATTGGAAATAAGTGTTCATTATCTGAAATGAGTGAAAATGACATGTTCCAGGGACAACACAATACATTCTACAGGATCTGGCTCCTGTAAATGGAACATCTGAATGTGTCTGGCTAAAATTCTGTGATTCTATCTATAGAGCCCTTTATAAGAAGAGAACTGCTAAACCACAACATTATTTTGCTACCTCAGTAGTCCTTATCCCACACCTTTAGATACCTTTAAATCGGAGCTGGAGCTATCCTAATTATATGAAATATCTGAACATCCTTGCACTAGGATCCAAAACTAACCCCTTGGAATGTACCAGTAAACATATAATCCTTATGTAATTACTCTCCTCAGTACTGAGGCCTATAGGGCTTCAATATGAAGAAAACAACAGTCACCATCTGATTTTTATTATGAATTAAAAAGATGACACAAAATCTCACTAATTCATGACCGACTGAGAATACATGAAGTTTGAAGTGAGTGTGATTTGTATCTATTAACATTACAATACTCACCATTTGGGAGTGACCTGGGGACACTTGTCTCCTAGACCAGGAAAATTTAGGATCATTTTAACGTGGAGGGGATCTGTATGATCCATTCTGCAATTGTCTTCTAGCATTCATATGGGTGCCTTACACAGCTGACTCATTTTAGCAGGTGGGCAGGATTGTTAGTCATTGTTAAACAGTGGCCAGTACAGCAGGGTAGAAGACAGCTTGCTAAACAATTCCTATGTTCATTTCTCTGCACACCACACACCTAAATATCCAAAGGTTTTAATAATAACTACACTTACCACATATATAACAATTTCAAAGTGCCTTTCAGAGGTAATTATCTTATCACCATTACACAAATGGAAACTGAAGCAAAAGAGGGGAAGTGACGTGCCAAAAATCACATTGTCTCCCAAGCCAGTGCCCTATTCATTGGAGTGTGCTGCTTCTAAAGAGCCATATTACGAACAAATTCTCAACAAACTTCACTTCAGATGTGAACAATTTTTCAGTTACAGGAAAGCAAAGATGATCAGAAAATGTGTCTCTCTCTTTATGACTTCCACAGCTTTTATGGGCTATAACATTTTCTATCATTTAAATATTACCCAGAGCAGATTCACATGTTCTTTGCCAAGATTCACCCCAGAAGGAATTTTTAAGGTGAGTTTTAAAAGCCTAAAATGATAAATGCTTGTAGAAGCACTGATACAAACTGTCTAGAGACGAGCGAAAAAACTCATAATTGTACTCTACAGTACTCTGCTGGATAGCATAATTTATACACTACTGTAGTTTAATTCTCATTCAAATTAATCAGAGCCCTTATTGTAGCAATCCTATTTCTGGTACTCTTTCTTCCTGATTCTGAAAGAGTGTCATGAAATGCAGGTTAATCAGTTGCCTTAAGTAAGTGGCCTCGTGATCTGAAAACTTAATTCATTTTCATTGGAAATAAAAATTGGCTTAATTGCTTTAAAGAATAAAGACAAGAATATTTTTTCCTTTTGAAAACACATTCTGGTTTAGTATCTTCTTATGAGAATTTGGCACTTTTGAAAA